TTCGTTTTCCACCCTTAGCCAATTATTCATAAGCACTATTGTGCAGTGCTCATAATTCTTTTAAAATGATGGTTTTACTGCGGTACTTCTTTTTTTAGGTCTTGATTTGCAGGTGGCGTTTTGTTTACTTATGCTTGTTGGTTTTCCCTGCATCTTGAAGGTATTGGACTCCTCACTGTTCTCCACGTTATAAGCATGGTGAGGGAAATTGATTCTGTTCCCTTCATTTTAATCCTCTTCCTGACCTGGCTGAGATTATTAATTGAGTTAAATAGGGTTTTATGATTTCCTTCTTGATGTAACCCCCTTAGACTCTCGCTAGGCAGTAAGTGCCACCAACCAACATTGAAAGACATGCCTGACCTTTGGTGGTGTCACTGGTCTTGACAACCTTCCGCTCTTACTCGCTTACCTCGCTTTGGCAGCTCGGCAGGTGAAGTCGGCGGGGCGAAAGCGGAGAGCGGAGTTGGAGACGGTGGTGAAAGGTGGTAGCGATGTATTGCAGCGGTTGCGCGTGAAGGACGGTCCCACCTCGAGGATTGCGCCACCGTAGCTCGCACTGTCTACGGTAATCTGCTCTCCGTCGCCCTTGGCATGGTTGACCTTGTGCTCGTCTAACACTGGCATTGCAGGTCAGATTTCCTTATTTCCCCTTCCCCTCCCAGAAGTTGGCGTCGGCTTTATTTCTTAAGTTTGCAGTATTCGTGCATTTGGTTGTTGAGTTTATTCAGCTTTATCAAACAAATGAGTGCAATTGACTACGGATAGGTCTTCAATCTTCTTAGTTAAAATCAAAATGGAAATCTGAATGACCCCAGCATCGAGAGAGATGCTTGTAACAGAAAGGAATAGCCGCCCGCATAGGCACGGATATTGGTGGCTCGAGGGCAGAGCGCTTCGTCACTCTCGACGGTTCCATGTAGCGCCTTCACGACCTCCTTACAGACTAAGTTAGCACTGTCAACAAAGGCCGAAATTGATGAGGTTCTCAGAGGTGCTGAGCCTTCCTACTGCTCCCCACAACACGAATATGATAGAGGAAGTAGTTTGTTTTTCTTTATTTTCATACCCTCTTAGAGGCAAGTGCGATTATTAATTTTGTTGAACTGGGTCTCTACTAATTTCATCCTTAAATCACCCCCTTCCGATTTTTAGTCCGATGACAAGGATCACCACCTAACTGAAAGACGCACGCCTAACATTTGGTGTTGTCACTACCCTTAATAGCCTCCCGCTCATTCACTCACTTGGTTATGGCAGCTGAATGGGTCCAGTCGGTGGGCCGAAGGCGGGGTGTGGAGGCTGAGACGATGGTGGAAGGCGGCATTCAGTTAATTAGTATATTCATTTTATGTAAAACGGGAATAAGTGCAATTAACCAATTACAGAACTTTAATCTTAGCAGTTATTTCCAAAGCAGAAATGTGAAGGACTAGGCATCGAGACGGGTGCTTATCATAGAAAGGAATACTTGCTCAATTTAGCATGCGCAAGATGGTAGCTGATGTTGGTAACTGTAGCAGTGAGTTTAATCATCCCCGTCCTCCACGTCTCTTCTACATACGGCACAACTGCTATTAGTCAAACGACATGCACTGGTTACCGCTACAACCGTTGGATTGCAGGTGTGTTGTGCTCAGACAT